CTAAAGAAGAGAGTGTAATATACATTAAATGTAACAATAAATGCTAACTTAATTAAAAAGCTGACTACCAATATTTGGAGTCAGATAAAAATATTTCTGCTGTTATCAACATAACTTGCAACTTTTAAAAGCTTAGTCTGCTTTTGGCTAAATTTATTCAGCATGATTATGATATTGACAAGATAAATTACCAGACCATAATGACCTGACTGGTATAATGACCTGACTGTGGCTTCAGCTCACTGTGGGGCAGAATTCCTTTAAAACTGGAAAACTGACCAAAATAAAAAGAAACTTGACAAAATTGTTTTCAGTTGTAATATATGGAAGAGATTCTAATTTATCTTAAGCACTTTTTTTATGACTCAAAAGTAAACTTTAACCCTACAGAAACTATTGATCAGCGCAACTCCATTTTTAAAAAAATTATTCACTCACGCAAGTAATTTTTACTATTTTATTTTACAAATTTTTCTTTTTTTTAATAAAACCACAGTTTATTTAAAGTTGCAAACTTTTTTTCATAGATTCTTTAATTTTAGGTTTTTAGCTATTTTTTAGAGATTTATTTTATTTATTATTTTTATTTTGTCAATTTTGTCAATTTATTTTATTTATTATTTTTATTTAGTCAATTTTGCCACACATTTTACAATGTTATTCTTACAGTTATCATATGTATATATATTTTAAAATTTGAATGGGACAGTAGAAAACAGCACGTTTTATCGTTTTATCTTTTTATTCTTAAATATTATACAAAATTAAAATATTAAAAAATGGAAATTTTTTGTATTATAATTTTGTATAAACAATTTTTTTATTATTAATAGCCCCTTAAAAAAGGGCATTTAAAATATGTTATTTCTAAAAAATCTTTTTAAAACAATGCAGTTTTCTTTTTCACTTAGATACAGTTTATTATTATTTTTTATTATAAAACAACTGATAATTACAGATAGTAAAACTTTTTTTTGGGGCAATTATTGAGCCCTTTTTTGTGTGCAATAGTGGAAATATTATATGGGCTTAAACTATTATATAGGTGGAAACCAGGCAACAAAATAAGGTCATGAATGCATTAAACTAACAACTATTTTTAACATTTTTATCTTATTTAGAGATTCTTTTTACATGCAAGCTTTTGATTTTCTTTTTTTTCGCTTATTTTGATATTTTACTTTTTTTGCTTAATGCTTAAAAAAAAATATTAACTTCAAATTAGTTGAAAATACTTTGTTCCATATCTAATATTAGTATATAACTATTTAAAATTCTATTAAATTAATTTTCTCATGTCTAACAAGTGCCCTTAAAAAAAGTATGTAACTTAAAAATTTGAAACTCAAAAAATTTTTTATTTTCCAGTTTTGAAGCTATTCTGCCCCACTGTGCAGCGTTTTAAAAATTTAAAACTTGAATATTTTAGAAAACAAAAAAGATTTAGCCACGTAGGAAGTGACAGGGGCCCTGGGGTTTTTTTTACAACCCTGATCCCGAATAAATAATAATTCTAGCAGGGGGTATTAGCAGGGGCTAATATATTATACTTATATTTAAAATTTATTATTTATTACTATATTTTAGTTAAACTTATTATTGCTCTGATCTTTAAGAACATTGAGCACTTTTATTTATAGAATACACTAACAATTTATTTTTAATGAAAATAAATATAAAATAATGACAATAGCACTGGAAAAGGTGGGCCAGAGTTTAGCAAAAAAAGACTTGTTAATTGCAAATGATTAAAAACGTTTTTAATTAACATGCATATGTTAATGGCAATGAATGTTTATTATATAATGCACTTGATCAATTTTGTAAATCTTTTAGGATGCTTAAAGTCAAAATGTTCTTAAAATGTGTGAAAAATGTGAAAAACATATAAATACTGAGAACACATCTGTGACATTTAAAAATATTCTATCCTTATGGAATTTGAAAATATTTATATATATTTACCTATAATTTTATAATTATTAAAAAAAAAAACTTTTTAAAAATTTTTAAAAAAATTTAAAAAATTTTTTTTAGTTTTTTAGCAGGATTTTTTTACATTATTAGGATATAATTTTTACAATTTTTTATGTAAAAAAAAACTTTGCGGTAATAGATTTATCACACATTATAATACGTTAAGATCAAATTAATTTAAATGCATACTTTAATACTTTAGGGTCATTCCATGTCAACTCAACCAGTGATGTTCACCACACCTCAAATCTTCCTGAAATTTTTAGGGCTTGTAGTGCATACAAAGCTAAGCCACTGCTGAAAATTTTAGGCCATTTGATCAAAAACTTTCTGAGATATGATTTTTTAAAGTTTTAAGGGTTGTCGCAAGTTCACGACTTTTACATTTTTGCGATATTTGAACGTGAATATTTCAAAAACTAAAACAGGTATCAGGCTGAAATTTTCAGCATTTACTCATTTTTTCATGCTGAGTTTAATGGTGTTTTTATATCAAATGTAGCTTGCATACAATATCCCCTAAAAATGTCCAAACATTGCACTTTAGACAGTTTTTACCAATGTTTGACCCGATATAGCCAAGAACCTATAAAACATGGAATGATGTTTGTTATACCATTAATAAGTACCATATATGTGTTTATTATTTTCATTGAAAATTCATGTTAATCAATAATAGTGTACCCATTGTAAGCACCGTTATGCATCACGGTCATCAATTTTTATGCGCATCGCGACCCTGACCATGTTGACAGTAATTCACACATTTCATATTTTGCACACTTATTAAACTCAGTAAGTACTAGCTATGGTGAAAATTTCATGTTGGTGTCTTGCCTCCTTCTTGGTGAAAAATCTGCAAGAAATTGAATATTTTCAAATGAATTTTTTGTTTAATATTTTGTTTAGGTATTTCATAATATTAATATATAATTATTAATTTATTTTTTTTATATTTTTTTTTAGGTATTTTTTTAATAGAAAACATATATAAACATATACTAAAAGTCTTACTGAATTATGATTAAGTAGCATGTAAATTTGTTTTTTTTTTTGGTTGAATTAGTATAGAATGTTTTTATAAAAATATGTTATTACATTTTTTTTATATTTGATATAGATTCAATATTTAATGAATATGGCTAAACTGCCATTGTGCACATTTGGACTGTTGCTTCAAGATGAATGCCACAAGACAGTTCATACACGCAGTGTTGGCTTGCATAACCTGTCAAAATTATCCGATGCTAACTTTGAATAGTTGATGTTAAGAACCAAGCCTGTTGATCAATTACAAAAAGAGAACTGCAATATATGCTTCCACCACGAACAGGTTCTACTTGAAAAATTTGATAAATTGCAGCGGAGTTGTTGTGATCCATTCAATAAACATCAATGCAAAGTCACAAAGTCACTGAGGGCAGTCAGTATTGACAAAGCCAAGTAGCTAACACTAACAACTGGGAGACACATCAAACCTGGTGAGAAGCTATGCCCAAGCTGTCAAAAGTACGATACATCCCAGGAACCTGAGTAATGGACATTCAGCTAGTGATACCGATATAGAAGACATTGACTTGCATCTTTTTCAACTAAATGACAGTATAAAAGCATTGGCTGCACACCAGTTAAGCTTCATGCAATGCCTGTTCGAAGTAGAATTTCATATGCCAAATATAAAATTGCAACTGCAACAACCAAAATTCAGAAGAAAGTAAGCAAAGTCAACCTCTTAATCTAGTTGTGAATGAAGTTACAGAATGTGATGGTTGCAATAACTTAACAAAACTAGTGACTGAATTAAAGATTAAGTGCAGTACAGCTTTCAGGCAAGAAAAAATTAAGATGAGTAAAATTAAAAAAAATTAAGATAAGTAACACTAGCACCATCTAGCTGGAGCCAATAAAAAGTCTCACAGGAATTTGGAGTAACCATGCACGTCGTTAAGCAAGCAAGAAAACTGAAGAAGTCATGTGGAATTTTGGCATACCCACAGAAAAAACATGGCAAAGTTCTCCCAGATGATGCGATCGAAAGTGTACGTAAATTTTTTGAAGATGATGAAATTTCCCGCATGTGTCCAGGTCAAAAGGAATTCTTGTCAATCAGAATTGATAGTGACTGTGTTCATAAACAAAAACCTCTTCTACTTCTGAATCTTAAGGAGATACATGTAGAATTCAAAAAACTAACTGGAATAAAAATTGGGCTTAGCAAGTTTTGTTCACTGCCTCCACCATGGTGCATTACTGTTGACTCGAGTGGTGCTTATGCAATCTTTGTCTATGAGACTCACCAAAATTTGAAACTTGCAGTTGCAGCACTGCCTGTTAGAACTGATTATAAGGACTTGCTTCTGAAGGCCATTTGTTCAACTGAGAATCGAGAATGCATGTTGCATCGATGTTCTATTTGTCCTGGTATTGATGTACTGAAATCATTTCTTGAACAGCTATTTAATGAAGCTGATATGGATTTAGATGACATAATCAATTACAAACGATGGACCCATGATGGTCAGTCAAAGCTGCAATCTGTGAGACTGTTGCTGACTTCATTACTTCACTTTGTACTTCCCCTGATAAAACAATGGATCATCATTTCACGGCCAAGGCACAGTCATCCTACTCGTGTCATCTTAAGGAGTGTTTGCCAGTTGGAACAGCAGTTGCATTGCTGGATTTTTCAGAAAATTATTAATTTATTTGTCACTATGCAGTGCAAGGCTTCCACTGGGAAACATCACAGGCCAGATTGCATCCATTTGTTGTGAATTATCGCGAGCTACCCAGCAATGACCTATGCTGCTTGTCTCTTTGCATTATAAGTGATGACCGTGAACATGTAGCAGGTACAGTCCATGCCTTCATTGAAATAGTGCTGCTATTTCTCAGAAGCAAAATGCCTGATTTGCAGAAAATGTTTACTTCAGTGATGAAGCAGCAGCACATTATAAAAACTGCAAAAACTTAAAGAATCTGTGGATGCATAAAACAGATTTTGGTATTGAAGCGGAGTGGAA